AAAAAAAATCTATCTCTATCTATCTATCCTACGTCTATCTATCATCCTACTCTATCTATTAGCCTATCTATCTATCTACTCTATATTTAATAAGTAGTTCTCCAAGCCAAAAAATACAAACCATTATCTAATTTCAGCTTCTTAAATGTGAAGCTTTACTGCTTTTCATCAATGGTTTGTTTTTGAGGAGGAAGTTACTTCAAAAAAAAACATACTATGACTGGATCAAGACCAAAAAGGCAAGTCTAGTGCAACACCCACGATCCAAGATAAGCAGGTTCACAACGTCCTGGAAAAACCAGGAATTATTTGGAAGTAATCTATGTTAATCCTGAAAATGAATATATATGATTATTTAATGCCTCAGACTGCCTACGTATTTTGTTTGAAACTTGACTGATCGTAGGATAAAACTTGCTCGTAAGGACCATTTTTTTTTTTTTTTTGCTCAGTGGAGCGTTTTACTGCCTTTCAGCTCGTTGTTTTGATTTTGCAGCCGACAACACTACTGTATGGTTGAGTCTTTGGTTGAGGCACCAAACAACAAACTGACAAAGTAAGCAACTTAGATAAGCTGCAACATCAGTGGAGCATTAGCAGCTAAAGAGCCAGACTTTCCATCAGAGACAAAAAACAGAACTAAAAGAGAGTGAATATTGGATTTACACTCATCAGGTGGACCCGACTCCAAATTAGCGATCATGTTGCTCCATCTCTTCTCGATTTTCAAATAGGCTAGCACATTTGCCATTTTATCTTTAAAGGTGTCTGTGTTGTGTTTGCAGCTTCTTTCCGCTGCCCCCAAGTGGTTAAAAAAATCTGTTAATGCAGGTTTAAGTACAACAAGATGCTGCTGAAACTGCCTATCAATACCGTAGTTTATGCCAATCCTATAATCACCAGGCTTACATGAGATTTTACCGTTTTAACACGTTCAATCAGCAGATTATTGAACATGTTTTGGAGGCATATCCACAATAGCCCCGTTAGTCCTGCCGGTACAACTCATTTTGCAAAAGCTGTCCCAAATCCTTGAACCAAACAAAGATGGCAACTGAATGAGTAAGTAGTATGAATCATTTCTAGCAGGTAAAACAGCATTATTGGGAAAAAAAACCTCATATCTCATATCATACTATTGGCACAGAGGCTGCTGATCTTCTCAATACTGATAATGTAGTAGTAGTAGTAATACGTTCTAACATTATACCTCACTTTAACAATACACAGCCGTTCCCTAAACAGGGATCTGCCAAAATGTTCTCACCTTACATAGCTGAAGATCTTAAAGTCAAGCTGTTGCTCACAAGGATAGAAGAATAACGTGCACACACAACCACGCACACACATATTTTACACCTTTGACACACAGTTTATTCCTGGTCTGACACCAGTCAGGCTTAAAGAACCAAAGCAGGAGGATGAAAGAGGAGAAAATAAGTCAGAGAAAAGAAAGGGGCAAGATGGCTGACAGAGAGCAGAGATGGATCCCGTGTGGAAACCAAAGATGATTTTCCTTTGATGTGGCAGATGCACACATCCATAACAGGCCCTCTGAGAGAGAAAGAGACAGACAAGGTGAATATACCTGCTGTCTTTATGCCCTTTTCTTTTTGACTGTGGTGTAGGAGGAAGAGAGAGATGAAATTTAATGAGAGGAGGCAACATCACAGGGACACAGACACATGGGTCAACGTGTAGCTCAAAGCAAAGAGAAGGATGTGACCAGTTTAGTGGCAAATGAAACACTGAGGTGGTACAGACACATTTAACAAGCACAATTTAAATGCTTAGTGCAAAATTAAGCATTGGAAGGAGCTGATGTTTATATATATTAAACTATTTGCTTCTTGTAGAACTTCTGCCCTTCATGGTAACATTATACGTTTCTCAATAAATGTCAATGAACATATATAAACAGTTTCCTTGTATATTTACAGAATCAGAATCAGAATCAGAATCAGAAATACTTTAATAATCCCCGGGGGGAAATTACTTGCCTGCAAGTTGCTGTATTTTAAATTAACTATAAGCTGCTGTAACTCTACTGTAATGCGATTTGCAGTATGTAGAACAATACTGTATTACTACTAAACAGTACTTTTACTGTACTTTGTAACTTGGTCTATTTCTACTGTATTTTATTATATTGTACTGTACTATAATATATTATTTATCAGTTAGTTATACTAATATTGATATTTTATCTTATTGTTGCTATTATTACTAATATTTATTATATTATATTAAATAATCTTCAGTTACAGGTAATACTGTAATATAACTATACTTTAGAATAACATTAAAAATCAAAAGGCAATCTGAACACTTATTCACTAAATATATTTTTACTTTTAAAAACATATAATACTGTCAACATGTTACAAACTTGGAATGAAAATATACTGAGATTGCTGAAGTGTAATTTAAAATAAGCAGTTTTGTTTGCATGTTTTTGGTCTTTCTTTCAGATGTCTCTGCATTCAAACACAACTGAAAGTATAAACTGATTGATTGAAACGTGAAAAAAGAATATCCAGGCTCAAAAGATATTCCTAGCCTTTTGGGAAACACAGAGGCTTCCCAGCCTGACTGTGTATTCAAACGTTTGCATGTGTGTTGGTAACACACTCTAAAAAACTCTGCATTGCGGCCATTAAGACCACCTGACTCTCGATATCAGTGGATAGGTAATTTAGGCGAGCAGGTGGTTAGAGAGATAAGTCTTTTCACACTAATAAATCCCTTTGCAACGAAGCGAACTAAAGTGAATTCAATTTGGAGGGAGTAAAAGCGAAGAGGGGAAGGGGGCCAGTCAATTGACCACCAATCAGAGCTATCTGATAGCGGCTGTAAAAGCCAGTGATTGGCCAGTAAAACGCCTGATCACGAAACGCTTAAATAAATGAATACGATGGCGACTATAAGCAGTTTTTAATTTATTGGACAGAAGGCAGAGACGATCACGCTGTAATGAAAAACTTTTTTTCTTTACTCAGTAAAATTTATGGGGGGGGGGTTAACGATCAGCTTACATTCAAGAATAAGCTGATAGTTGCATGACTAGTAAACAGCATGAAATTAGAGCGGGGCGATGTTTGTGCAGAAAGACGTTATTACAGCGAGCGTGACGCTACCGCACCGCCTTGTTTTACAGCCACAGGCCGCAGCTATAATTAAACACACCCATCCAGACTAATGGAAGGAGAAACTCAGTATGTCAGACAACTAATTGCTACACTCAGTCTCTCTCTTTTCACACACACACACACACACACACACTTCTTTTGTCTTTGCTAATCTAATCTGGCTCAGCAACTCTCACTTTTTAGGCCGTTACCTCCACCTTCTCCTCCTCCTCCTCCTCCTCCTCTCTCGTTTTCCTCCAGTAAAGGATGTTCTGGGTTTAATGAGAAGCTCCTCATTATTGCTTCTTGTTTCTCTTTGCTCTCAGCGTTCATTCTTTTCTCCTTGAGTTTCTGCTGCTGTCGGTGCCGAGCCACAATGTCAGAGCGTCGTTGAGATTCTGCTTTGTTTAGAGGACAAGCACTAACTGTCTTGTTAGTCAAGTTCAGTAGGTTTATTGTCAGGACTGTTTGTCAGAAACTGTGTTTACAAAACAGTTTGGGGCCATAACTTACAGTATGACGTTTCCAAATGTTAGTTTTTTTTTTGTCCAACCAACAGTCCAAAACTCAAATATATTCAATTTGTAATCGAGTAAAACAGAATAAAGCAACAAAGTTCAGCATTTCTGTCACTAATTTTTTACAGATGGACTAATCGATCAATCAGACTTATTGTTTGAACATTGACACAGCTACATAATGTTTACTGTATCAGAACTTTAAACAATAAGTCAGGCAATCATATGTTGGATCACCAGTTTTGATCAGTTAATCTGTTTTGTTTTTAATGATTGATGAACTTTAGTGTCCCAGAGAGAAATTGCTTCACAGTGTGAGCAAAAGCTTTGACAATACACTATAAAAACAAATGCATAATCTACCCTGTGACAGCATGGGTATCAATATAAGAAACTTATGTTGGCATAGGTGCAAAAATACAGCAAAGACAACTTTTGGCTCTGAGAAATAAAAACAAATAATTAAGAGTAATCAATAATAAAAATGATCTCGCTCTCCTCATTGTTTGAAATGTAAAAGTGTAAAAAAAAAAAACAACAACTAAAATGTCAACTTTTCTTTCCTTTCTGTGTTTTTCCAGACATTATGGAGCGGTGGTGGGCGTGGCAGTTTGCCCTGGTCACCCTGGCAACCACTTACCTCACCCCCTCCCAGGGTAAAAACGTAGAGTTCACCTCGGACACCCTCATCAACAATGTGGTGGCCAACCCTCGCACGGGCCGCCTGTACGTCGGCGCTGTCAACTCCCTGTACCAGCTGAACCCTGACCTTGGGCTCGAGTCCCGCACCGATACGGGCCCCAAGCGGGACAACCGACTGTGCACGCCGCCCGTCACCGACGCCTGCGACGAGGCCGTGGACACGGACAACCACAACAAGCTGCTGCTGGTCCACGAGGCTAAGGACGTCCTGGTGGTGTGTGGCAGCATCTTCAGGGGCATCTGCTCTCTGAGGAACCTGAGCAGCGTGGAGCAGCTGCTGTACTTCAGCGACACCAAAGGAGAGAAGTCGTATGTGGCGAGCACAGAAGAGAGCGTCTCTGTGGTGGGAGTGATATCATACTTCATCAAGGACGGTGATAACTTCACCGTGTTCCTGGTGAGGAGAAAAAGTCACACACACACACACACACACTTATTATTTCCAGCAGAACTGAGGTAAATAAGAAAATAAATATAAATGATCACCTCCATCTGAGATATTGAGCGAACAAACACGATCAAATTGCAATTTGTAAATATATTATAGACATATTTGTCAGACTTCCTCACACAGAATCAGTGAATTGATCTTCATAAGATCTGTCTGCTGCTCTCCCTTTCCTTCAAGGCATACATGTAGAAGCTTTTTTATGGTGCCTCTAATCAAATCAGTGTTTTTACCCAGAGTGTGGAGAGGGTTTACCTTCCTGTAGTTCTCTGTTTGGCAGAGGCAGAGGTAGGAAAGAGAGCTGTGGGGACTGGGAAACCAGCAGGAGGTCCTTGAGGGACCTTCAGCAGCTATTTAACAAAAGGACCTGAAGCTTAAAAGGAGAAAATGTGTGCAAAAGTTGCTTATATACACATCCAGGAGAGTAAAATTAGCATTCACATTCTGTCCACACCCAAGTCCAATATTCATTTTTCTTTTAGCTGTTTTTGTCACCACAAACTCGAAAAATATGTGGCAATTCAGCTTCTCAGTGCTCCACATTCTTCACAGTCTAGTGGCTTGATCCATTGTTAATGTAGATAATATATAAGTGCAGCTCCTCAACTTGGACAAGGAATAATAAGCACACTGTAAGATGGAAGTCTTTCTGGCATTTGAACACAAACTCCCTAGAAAAAGTTGTGAGTTCCACTGAAAAAAAAGACCTTTCAGTGCAAAGGCTGAATGATTAAATGTGTAAGCTGTGTGGCAGGGCAAGGACTGGGTGCTATTGTTCTGGAGTTTTACTTGAGCCTTAATAGTTTGGCTCTCAAGTCAAATCAAGTCTTCAGGGAGTTTGCAGTTATTCTTGGCCTCATTTTGGGACTTAAAGGAACACTATGTAAGATGTATATCTTTGCTAACACAGTCAAACATCAAGCAAGTGCAACAACACAAGACGTAGTAAGCCAGTTGATATTAATGACAGCAAAGAAGGCCAGCTCGCCGTCTGCCTGCAGCCTCTTATTTCACAAAGCTCTTGCTAACGAAAAAAAGCCAGTCCAAGATCAGCCATTAGCTATGTCCATGGAAGCAGCCGAGCCCGGTTACATTGCCCGCTGGCCTGGCTCCAGTTCTGGCACGATGCAGCCTCCACTCCCCATCAGCATCCCTCCAAAGCTCCTGTGCTACGAGTGTGAACACCAACACTCCCCCGATGTGCTCTGAAGACCCAATCGAAGACAGTACAGCTAAGCTTACAAGCTAACAGCAGCCACATTAGCAGTTACTCAGCAGTTACTTTACTGTCCATCAGGGAACTCCATAAATCACAAAAAGTTGAAGCAGAACAGAAGGAAAACTATAAAATATGATCCAGTTTCACCAAAATCAGTGACATAGTTTGTGGTGTGTGACTTAGTGCCGTGAAGCCTAACACACCTGTCCCAAACCAAACGTTACATAATGGAGCTTTAAGACACATGAAGACGATAGAATACAAGCATGTTTGGTTTGGAGAGCACTTTAGATACTAGAACTAGATATTCACTTGAACAAAAGTAGTTAAATATACTCTTAACTTCTAGTCTGAACTATTTCCACTATCTTGTTACATGAGTTTATCGTCTCTTCCTTCTCAGGTTGGTAAGGGGTACGGCAGTCATGACAGCACCAAGCTGATCTCCACCCGCATCCTCCAGGACTACGGCGACTGGGTGGTTTTCGACAGCATCATCGAGGCCTCAGCGGTCCAGGCCAACCCCTTCGTCCTGCGGTACCTCCACGACTTCCGTTTCGCCTTCAAAGACGGCGGCTTCGTGTACTTTCTGTTCTCGCGGACGCTCGGCATTCAGGACACCAAGAACTTCACCTTCATCTCCAGGATGTGCGAGGACGATCAGGGTTATTACTCCTACACCGAGCTGCAGCTCAACTGTAGCGCTGCAAACAAGTACAACAAGGCTCAGGTAATGATAACACACTCCTCAGCCGCTGGATAGGCTGTCAGCATTTTATTAAAAGGGTAGCAGTGACTCGGAAAAACACATTTGGACATTTTACATTTGGATGAGTTTGTGTTAAATTGGAACCTTTTTTGAGAATGCCTGCATCCTGACCCTCTGAAAAACTTTATAAATTGGATTTAACATGCTCTTGAACTTGAAATAGCTTCAGTTTATGGGGTCTCCACTCTCACTGTACTGTTGTATCAGCTAAATTCGTTTTTTTTTTTGTGTATCTAACATTCAGCATTTTTTTATCTCTTCCTTGTCTCCCAGGCTGCTTATGTAGCTATACCAGGTGATGTTTTGGCTCAGACTATGACCAAATCGGGCCAGTATGGACAAGTTTCAGCCTCTGACAAGGTGCTGTTTGTCACCTTCACTTCCGACGAAGACCCATCTACTTCGGCAATGTGTAGGTGTCATCTTAATGCGGGCAGATTTTCCTGATATTTGATGTTGCCTGACGTTTGTTAGTTGGCATTGGAATGTCTAAAAACATGTCACAACATTTCTTTGAATTTTGGCAGAATGTTTGACCAGGGAAAGAGATTCAGTTTCGCTGCAGATTCATTAAACATTTACCCTTTTGTTCAACACAAATCTGTTTAGAAATCAGGAGGCTCAAAGTTCATTCTTGACCTTGAAACAGCAGCTGAGAAAAGAAACTCACCACAAGGTTTACTTAGTATCGTTTCTGGAGCTTTGGATCATGAGCATTATTAACCTTAAACATTTGCTTTTCAAGACAACATGGTTGAGAAGTCTTTTGCAGGATTTAGTGGCATCCAGCGGTGAAGTTTCAGGTTGCTAACTAACTGAACGTCACTTGTGTTTGTATTTAAAGACCTGGGAATGAGAACAGGCTGTAAAGTGTGTAGGAGAAACTATCAGCCAGTGTTTGGTTTGTCCAGTAGAAACATGGTGGACTCCATGGAAGTTGTCTCTAAGGTAACATAATTCCAACATTCAGGTGATTCTACACTAATGAATCCTCCTATGTTACAGTGGACATTTAAATTGCTCAGAAAAACTTTAAACATCTACTTTCGATATAATGCAAAATGACCGAAATCTCCAGAAGAGCTTCTTAATGGAAGCTTGTGGTGAGATTGTGCAGAAATTATTCCACAAAGCCAGAGAAAGCTGTCAATACAACCATTTCCACCTCACCAGGGTGATTAAAATACAGATTTTCTGCAATTTAGAGGACAATATAAATGGAAATTTTGGAGTGGTCTTAAATGGATAAGCCAGTGGTCATAAAGGCTGTAAATAACTTTATTAATTTGTATGCAGTTTCACGACAACAACAGCATCAGATTTTCTTTTATGAAAATAATATTGTAAATAATGAAGGTTTTGCAGACTGCAATGTGTTCTCTAAATACTTTGTTTGTTTGTTTTTATATTTGACATTTTTATTGTTTACCAGAAAACATGACTCGTGTTAAATAGAACAGAAGAAACTGTAGGAAAGAGGCACAGACGGTGTTTATGCTCCTTTTTCTAGGTATGTACCCTGTGCGCTCTATTAATGAAAGGCTGGTGGAGATAATAGAAGCCTGTTACACCGTCAACGGCGTCATTAACGAGAAGGCTGCTGTCTACTCGCCTTACTCGTCCAAGTCTGAAGAGCTGTGCGTCACCAATAGTCAGGTGAGAAAATCTGCCTGTGTGTCAGAGATAAAGAGAAACTGAAAAAACAGAGAGAGAAATATTGATAATATATCAATGAGCCAATAATTCTGCATCAATGTGAATGTTCTACTATTGGATTTCATTTCTGTTCTGCTCCATCAGAATAACGTGGCCAGCAAATTCAAGTGTGGGGCCGAGCACCTGCCCTCCCCACTGGCCAGCAAGGCCGAGTTCGCCTTAACAGCGAATTCCTCATTGGTCCGTAAGGGTCACATGACCGCTGTTGCTGTGGCTGTGGAAATGGGGCACGCTGTGGCATTCCTGGGCACCGCCACTGGAGAGGTAAAGACTAAAGACTTAAAATAGTTTGTAATGATGCTGTTAAATGTGTTTATACTGTAAAGACTGTAGTGAAGTCCTCTGAATCCCTGACTGCACCAAAACTCACAGTTTCCAAAAATAAAAAGACTCTATAACCCAAACATGACTACATTAAAGGTGTGGTCAACTGTGACGTCCCCCATTGGTTTGTGGAGTACCGTTTTGAAGCCTTAATGTGGCTTAGTTTAATCTCATTTGTAGCAGGAAACAATGGCAGCTCTCCTAGCCACATATGTGCTTGTACTACAGATTCAAAATACACAGACATACATTTCTGAAAAGGTTTTAGGTGAGAAAGTAACAGAATCTGGAGGCGCAATCTGATCAGCACTGTTTGACAGTTTGATCTGAGTTTGGTGAGTTGAGCTGGACGGACTCACTGAGAATGAGCTGTCAATCACAAGGTAGCCCCGCCCTAAAGCATACCCTGCTTTATGGTCTGTTTCACTCTAAATGGGACCATCATTTACTAAATGAACATATGCTGTATTAAGACTGAATACTAGGATCTTTATACTTATTTTTTAATTTTTTATATATATATATTTTTTTTATTTGTAATTATTTTTATTTTTATAAATCAACCGAGAAGTCGACTCATTTCACCATAAGGAAGCCTTCTAGCAAGCTCACTAGCTAGTTAGCTCACCAGTTCATTTGTATACATGCCGCCATTAATGTGGACCATGACCATTGTGGTTAATATTTAAGAATTCAGTTTTAAAAAGGTAAATTAATTCTCACCTTAATCAAATTTGAATGGAAACTTTGGTTAATGCTTTACACTGTGGAGAGGAACTGTGTACTGTGTAAGCACTGTGTAACTTAGTACTACTACTAATTATAGAGAAAATGTTCAAATATATGGTGCACATTGCTAAAATGTAAGTTGAACATTCAGTTAGAAAAACAGGAGGAATAAAGTTTTTAAGAGTAAATTTATGAATATTTACTTGCAAGATTTTAACTGTTCTTTCAAGGACATTTCTCAGAAAATAATAATTTAAAAGTAACACTGTTTTCCAGAAAACTTATAAATCTGTGCCCTTTGATATAAAGAGCATCACATTACCCGCTGAAATAACAACAGTAACAGTATTTTGCATTTTTGCTAAATTACCATTTTAAGCATTAACACATATTTTAGAAAATAACCATAAATTAAAGTAGAAACTGTGTCTATAACAGCTGTGAATGCGCTCTCTTTCCTGTGAAAGATGAACTTACCAACAATAGATCTCTCTCCTGTCTGTTCTGTGTCCTGTGCTGTAATGTTGTCGTGTATTTCGTACAGAAAAAAGACGCGTTTATTACGTTGAAGAAAACCAGGGTTGCAGGGTGAATTAAAATGCGTGCTAATGCAGTTTTTGTGTTCCTGTAGGTGCTGAAGGTGCATCTGTCGGCACACCCTGAGGTGTACGGGCGAGCGTCGGGCGAAGTCACGGGGGACAAGGTCAACAAGAACCTGCTGTTCGATTCCAGCCTCCGACACCTGTACATCACCACAGAGAAAAAGGTCAAACTCTCTCAGGCTCGGCCGGATTGATTGTTCTTTTTCTTTTTCCTTCCATCCATCTAACACCTCTCTGTCGCTACACAAAGAAGGTCAGGGACGCAGTCATGTGCTTACTTCTCTTCCATTTCATACATCAGGTCGGGGACTTAATGAGTCTTTCATTTATGCCGTCTGTGTTATTTGATCATTTATTCATTCGTTCAACTAACACCAATACATCCGTCTACATTACCACACAGAAGTCAGTCATTGATTTATTCGCTCGTTCTCTTTCTCTCCGGCCCCCTTTTGTTTTCCTCGCTGCGTTTTCTCTTCATCTGTCTTTTCTCTCCTTTTTGTCCTTTCATCTTTCGGTCGCCATCCCTCTCTGCCACCACACCGAAGTGAAATTGATGCTATTGATTCAGAAATGAATTAATTAGAATGCACTTCAAGAGGGCAATTCACTTTGATCAAGTCAAGTGACGATACTCGAGCTTGTTCCATCTGCTCATTTAAATTTATTAGACCTACCTCTTCTTGTCAGAGAGGAAAATGATTTCCACAGCTGGTTTGGAAGAAGTTCTCTAGTAAAGTACCATCCAAAGACCTTCCCTTTTTACAAGAAAATATTACATGGGGAAAGAAAAATCTATTAGGTGATATACATAAAGGGTTTATTTATGTTCCACAGGATCACACCAGTGGAGAAATAATACGGCAATCCATCTACATTTAATAATAAATCTATCACACGTCTTGGGTGTGACTCTGAACATGTGATTAATCACTGAAGCGGAGCACACAAAAAACTATTGACAGCTGTGACGGTAAAGCCATACAAACACAAAATCAAAACACATGTCCCAAATGGATCCCAGACTGATCCCTTTGTCTTATTCTTCCTCCACACGTTCTCCTTCATGAAACACAAACAGGAACAGAAATGATCATACAGGATGTTTTTTTAATGTAGCCGCATTATTTAGGCCCCATTCAGTCAGGAATAACATTACAGAGGGAGGTGGGAAATGAAATGTTCACTGTGCTTCTCTGTAATTTAACTCATCTGTAATTTAACTTAGCCGGAAGAGAGAGTCAATTATGTCTCAGCAGGAGGGCAGCGCAGAGTTGAAGGGGGGAGGCTGTCTGAGCCAAGAAAGGCAAACTCCCCCCTTCAAAGTCAAACTTACTCAAATCTGAACACACCATGAAACACACATTGATATAATTCAGTTTAGTATCTCTGCTATCAATCGCGGTAAGTCAAAGAGATGCTTCAGAACTTTTCTGAGAATCATCAAGTTTTAAAGTTCAGTATCAAAGTGATCCAGTGATAGTTGCCTGTACGTCCATTCGGCAAACTTTTAATGGTGTCAGTTTGCTAAAATGTAAACAAATATAGGCTTTTAAAAAAATGGGGCTTAAAAGAGAGTTTGTAGAAAATCAATAGGTAATGGCGCTGGTGCAATTATAACTGGGGTTTGGTGAGAAATGACTCTGTTATGTGCTCACTCATCAGAGCAGGTAATGTCAACCTTACCTTTCCTAGAGAAATGAATCCAGTCTGAATGGCTCTATGGGAATAGCTGTACTGTGAGCTGGAGATTATTTTGAATCATCAGCGTTGCCTTTTTGCCCTTAAGCGTCTGCATGTTGTTCACAATAACAACTCCTTCACAATAAAAGCCTGTCATGTGCATGCAGATCACCAAGGTTCCAGTCCAGGCCTGCCACCTGAAGACGGACTGCCACTCCTGCGTCTCGATGAAGGATCCGTATTGTGGCTGGTGTGTCCTGGAGGGAAGGTGAGTCACTCTTGAGTGTATAAAGGTCTCAACAAACATTAACTGAGCTTCCATCCTCTTGTATTTACATGCATTACACTTGGTTGAGGTGCAATGGAGCATGTTGTAAACTACAGAAGTACTGGTCTGAAATACTATCCTGTCTTTGATTTTGGGGCCTCCCAAATGGGGATATAACTAATGTAGCCAGGAAATAGGTTATATAACATTCTTACTTTTGCTGCTAGAAAAAATATATTATTATAGTGGTGACAGTGATGTGGGCCCTTCTGTTAATGGTGGTATAAAGTTATATTTGATCTGGTTCCTTTGGAATACTTTACAAGTGTTCTGCATACCAAAGCAGATCAGTATGGCAGCCTTATTTGAATTATGTAGGATAATAATCAGATTTTTCTTCCATTATTTTACAAGGAGTCTACTGAACATAGACTATTTCCTGTAACTTATAATAAAACAATTTTGGGTTTTGTTGCTAGTATTATAAAATAATAATAAGAAAATCCATTAAATATAGAAATAGTGCAATGGAAGAAAAGAGAAACTTGAGCTTGACCTTGGAGGGAACAGTGAAGGAAGCTATCGTAGCTCATTAGCTGTAGTTTCATTTACTCCTCTGTCGGGGTATAACCTGTAGTTTGCAGGCACTTTTGCAACAGGAGCCAGTGGTATAAATGTGCCTTTTGATAAACTGTGTGAAACTTATTATCCTCTTAGGCACCGAGCTAAGTGACAACTAGCAAGCAAATTAGGTTGGAGAACTTTTTTCCATTCTTTAGTAACTTTATTTAATTAACTTATGTACAATCTCAGTAACAAAATGCTAGCAGGAAGTAAACAGCCCAGTAGGTCTTGCTAGTGTGTCAGCAGCTATAGTAGTTCTCCAGCTAGCCCTACAAGTAGTCCCTAATCAATTTATTATAAATCCCACTGCTTTACTTGCCAAGACACGCCCTGCGTAGCATTTAAGCTTTAGGATTAATCAGGCGCCAAAGTCCAAGAGTAGCAATAAAGTAGTGGTGGCTGACTGGGTTAATGACTGGACTTGTACCTGGGGAAATGGGTTTGATTATCCTGCAAGACAGTTTTTTAGACTTAGTTGAAGTGGGGTTTTTTTTTAATTATCTTCATTAAGGCGTACTAGGAAACTTAAAAATTATACATACTAGGTCTATATCTCAGCATTTGGTTCACTTCTGTGTAGAAAAGTAAATTGTTAAGGAATTTGTTTGTTAGTAGAACAATGTCCAACCGTCAGGGACAAGAAAACACTGAATTAGTGCAAAAAAACTGATGAAAAATGTAACTTTGATGTGGTGATTTGCACTTACAGTAACACTGATGTGAGACTGTTTGGCTACCACTCACCTTAACAAACACTATCACAGTTTTTTTTCATTAAGTTTAACAACAGCATCCATCTGCTTGACTCACAGGTGCACCAGGAAGCAGGAGTGTAGCAGGTCGACGGAACAAAACACCTGGCTGTGGTCCCCCGATCAGCAGTGTGTTCAGATCCAGTCCTTCAACCCTCCGAACCTCAGCTGCAAGAAGACGCAGCAGGTAGGAAAGGAGAGAGAGCGATACTCAAGGATGTGAATGAACATGCATATTTCTCCGAGTCTTTTCCCTCTGCAGGGTGGAGTCCCCCCCTGAGCTAAGTTCAGTTCTTGCTGAGCTCTGCTTAATTTAAACCAGTCAAACCTCCTGAAACGCGTAACAGAGTTGGAGGGCTCTGTGTCTGTGTTGTCAGCAGGATTTCAAAACAGGTTCTTAACCTCTGGTGCGAGGACCTCCGGGGGCCCCCTCAAGGGAGTTACAAAGAAGTGTTTTAATGCACAAGTGACATTATAATTCACAGTTTTTGGATGTGAGCCACATAGTATATTGCATAGAATTGTTTGTGGTGACAGTTCAGTTTGCATGCTGATTCAGCTCTGAAAGTGAAATTAATGCTTCTTTGGAAACGTTGTCACACCCAGAAACTGCTGATGACACCTTGTTTTTGGTGAATCACATATGAGTAACAGCACCAACAGTGATAATATCATTTAGGTGCAGAACAACACTGTTAGTCATTATTGACTCAGTGACAAAGATTTCCAATATTACGATGGTCTACAGTGATTCTCTCCCTGATGAATGCTAAATAATGTTAGAATTTTGTACTCCTTTTATTAGCTGTTACTAAGCCTGTAAAGCTTTCCATTCCCGCATTGGTACATATTTTGGTTTTACAGATATACCACAATGTTATTGTGTAATTTTTGAAACAGTGGTTCCTTGCGACCGTTTATTTGCTTTATTTTTAACTGTCTAGCTAATTAAGCTAATGTTAGTGCTTGAAAACGATGTCTCAAGCTGACTTTATAATGATTCCAGCTGTAAAAAGGCCTTACATGTTTACTTTATGGTTATTTACATAATATTATGCTAAAAGAGTGAGGCTAAAGCTAACATGCCCCAGGCAGACAACCTCAAGAGTTGATGAACACACGGAAATAAAAAAAAATAGACAATTTAATTCTAACGTAACACTGTTGAAAAACACAACCTGTATGCTTACAGCTTAGTGTAGTTAGCTTATAGTTAGCTAATGATATGCTAACTGGCAGACATACTCAGATAATGTACTTAAGTTAAAAACAGCAATACTACAACAAATTCTGTAATACAGTGAGTATTAGTACAAAAGCATTAGCATTAAAATGTACTTAAAGTACCAAAAGTAAAAGTACTCATTATGCAGGATGGCCCATTTCTGAATAATATATAATACTGGATTATAATCACTGATAAATCAATATATCACAATGTTGAACGGTGGTGGTAATTCTAATTACTTTATAAACTGCTGGGTAGCTTAATATAATTATATAAGCTAACATTTTCAGCTTACTTTAGAGCAGAAAAACTGTTTAATGTATTTCTTACACTTTTTCGCTCTTGTGTTTTAGATTTTAAAGAAGATTTTAAAGGGTAAACCTCTAGTATCTCAGTCGTATATGGAGCAAACTAATTTCTTTACACTATGAAATTCAAAATGAAAACACTGTGGCGGCATTTTCCCACTGAATACTAGAATACGAGGATCTGAATCTGACGGCTGAGCTTTCTGAATTAATGAGGTATTGATCAAAGAGCTGATTTGCCAGAAAGACACGTCGTCCTTCAAGATGCACAACACCAGACTGTCGACTAACCTTCCCTCCCATCACGTCTTCCTTAGAATAACTACTTGCTCTTCGACGTCACTCAGGTTTAGTCTGACATACGCGGTCAGCTGTGCACATACTTATTCATTATGTAATTTAACTTAAAGGCGGTTCAGTGCTCAGATGTTAACAAGTCTGAATGGAATAAAAAATAATAATAAAAAAGCTGCTGAGGGTTGATCAGAGGACCGAAATGTGTTCTGTATGTAGATTGTAACATTGGTGATGAGGGGGCAACAAAACGTATAAATTATGGGTGCGTGATATCGCAATCAGGTCAGGTTATAATAAATAATATGCAAATAGAAGTAAGTGGTTGGTTTGTTTTGAAGACTTTGTAGTTTTATATTCGTTTGGTTCCTTCCAGAGCTGATTTTGAGCACTAAATCCGTCACACTGGTCCTTTAATTACTCCTTTTTTATTATAAAATGTTGAGCTATGACACCCATAATCTTAAAACGATAAGATGAATCGGAAAAAAACTTTTGATTTTACCAAAAACCGCCATCTTTCTCTATCCTTAATTTTAAAAAACATCAAAGCACCAACATGTACAGTATTAGCTACTGCAAATCATTTGTATAAGAGCATCCTTTTCATAAGACAGGGTTTCTATGCTAGGCTGCTTCTGTCTCATTAATGTTTTATTATCCAGGATTTTACCAACTCTAAACCTCACACTTCATTCATGATTTATGTACTTCTGTAGTGTATATATAGTTATTAAGTCAAGTCTTTAGGGAGTCAGGCCTGTAGTCAAGTCTCTAAGCAGTCAAGTATTTAGGTTGTGACTTAAGAATCACTCAAACCGCTGCAACTCTGCTTATTTTCTAATTTTAATGGGATTTTAAATTGTCATGCATCACATTGTGCTTCAGGAGACGCTCTAATAACGTTAGGAAGTCCCAAATACAGTCAGAAATGGCACAGCTTTGCACACTGGCAGTCCCAAGTATTTAAATTTACACTTTATTACCTGTGAACCCTTTGAGATGATGATTGTTTCTGGTGGGGAGGAGTTCGCTGCAGCTTTGTCAGAACAAACAACTTTAAGTTTGACCTCTGCAAACACCAGAACTTCTTTTGGGCCCAGATAGAAGAATCTGCTGCATATTAATTAGGGAGTTTGGGACTGTCGTCTCTGTTGCAGCCCCCCCTAGTTTGTGATTTTAATCTGATAAGGGTTTGAGCTTAAAGAAAAAAAGTTGCCTCATGCAGCTTTACATTCTTAAAAAGAGGAAAAAGTCTCGGGTGAATTCATTCAGGGGGCTTCTCCGTTACCCGAGATCAAAAAGTTAGCAGTTAAATTAAACTGGTTGAGGTCAGCGAGGAGTAATGAGGAACTGATGTTTGAACACCACAGCTGAATATCAATTATTTCTGCAGTCCACGCACACATAGACATACGTGGTTGCATGGTTGCAACACACACAGGCAGATGTGTGCACAATTTATTGAGGGCAACCAGTTGTACTTATTTCTTCTCTCTCACTGATACACGTCTTTGTTGCTTATTCACACACACAAACACAGATACACAGTCCCTCCTTAACATAAAATACAAATCTAATATGCTATTAGCATCAATATGGAGGTAATAAAATATAGACAGAGTTTTAGAGGTGAAATATTCACTGATTACTAATCTAGTGACGATATTGTGAATTTAGCAGCTGGAATGAAAATAGACTTTTTCTATGTAGGATTTGCACTGATATGATTATGTAAAGGTACTCATAGGGCTGCTTTCCTAAAGAAAAAAATATTTAATAAATAAATATGTTTAATAAGAAAATAAGTTAAAAATTAAGCATATATTGTGTAAAACCAGATACGTTCATTTAACTCAAAACATTGGTGAAACTGATCAAAATCTTTAAGACAAACTCACTTAAAAATAAGTTTGGCTCTTGGCGAGGAAAACTTGTTTCCAGCGCGGCATCAACACTTTGCTGGTGTAGAACCAAGAACCGCTTGGCTCTATGGTGGCTCTCTTGGTCGTTAGAAAAGCAAACCGCTTTGGACTTTTAAGACTTTTGAGTATAAATACATATAGTTATTACTTTAATTACTCTGTTAAACTCAGTCCTATCCTGCCAGTCACTCCCCAAACTCAGAAAAACACTCTATTTCTCTGTCCACCACTAACTCATTTCTTTATCTCACTGCAGCCAGTTAAGCTGTGAGGAGAAAAAGAATTACTTATCTTTCACTCAACTCTTCCCTCGACAATTTTCTCCTGATTCCTTGTC